AACTCGCCGCCGCTCACCGCCTCGCCCTCGACTACACCGGAGTTCTCCGCTGCCGCATTGCTGACCAAAGTCACAAGAGAAGAAGCATTACTGGCCAAAGTCCTATCTCTTTTGACTGAAACCAGAGTCCAATTGATTTGGCTGCAACGTTTTGCAGGAAAAACAAGAGACCATAGAATGATAAAATGAACAACTGTAAGAGTTACCAACAACAAAATAGGCCTTCAGAGAGTAAGAATTACTCACCCATTTACTGGGAGATGCTGCGGAGCTCCTACAGGATTGGACAAGCTCATTGCATCTATAAAACTCTCTGTTTGTTCCATATTAGAAGATTTCCTCCTCAGGGGGTTCAATAAATCACCATTTTCCATGTTCTCTTAATACAATTTTGCTGCATTGTGCAGGGATTGCTCTCAAATTTTGCTTAAGTCTCATTCAGTTGTACCTGAGAGTAAATTGAGAGCAGTGTACAAGAAATACTCGAGCATTGAATTTGAAAATGTGGCATTGAATCAACTAGCACTGAAGAAGGTGTTAGAGGAGTTGAAGGCTTCTTCAGCTTCGTTTTAAATGGTTAACTGTTTTTTTATGGAGGAAGGAAAAGTCAACTATTGATGATAAGGGAGATTATTGCGTTTGTTTGTTTTTGTGCTCATACCCTTGTCTAAGGAGTAAAGGAACCTCTGTAATTGAATCAAACAGTTGTAGTTTTTTGATAACTATTAGAACTTCTGTAATTATTCATATGATCTGTATTTTGGTTATAACTTTCTCATCCGACCTCGGAATGAGGTGATTTGAGATGTGTTGGAAAGCTGTTGAAGAGACCTACAACTTGGTCTTTTGAGTTTTTTCAGATTCGAAATACATCTGTGTGTAAAATAATTTTTAGTTCTGTGAGCTCTTATGTTAGTTCTGTGAGCTATGATTAGGCCTGTCCATCCAGCCCGGCCAAGAAATCCGGGCCCGAGCCGGGCAAAACCGGAGCCCGGACCCGGACCCGGGTACCCCGGGCCGAGTCCGGGCCCGGGCCCGATCGGGCCGGGTTCCGGGCAGGCCCGATTTATTTTCTTTTTTTTTATCAATTTTTTTTAATTTTATTTAAATTATACAAAAAAGACAAATAAATAAATAAAAAATAATAATTTTATTAATCACTTAAAATAACATAAAATACAAATAAAAATTATAAAAATAAATTCTTTATTAATAATTAATAAATCATTTACAAATTACAAGTATAAATTTATTTTGGAATTCATCGCTTCATAATAGATAAGTACATCCCAACTAGGTTTTTTTAAATTTCTTTTCTTTTCTTTTTTTTTGATAAAAAAATGCTAAAAATTAGTTTAATATTATTATATTTTATATAATTATGTATTAGTATATACTTACAAATTATTATGTAACTATATATTATATATACATATATTATATGTAAATATATTGTATATATTTATAAGTTATAATTTAAGAGAGAGAGAGAATCGCATAAGTAACCCTGTAGCCGTTGCTCGTTGGGCCAATGGGGAAGTAACCATTGTAATATACTATACTTATATACTAAGAGAGAGAGTATACACACACACATATATAAAAGAGTATACTTATATAATAGGGAGTATACATATATAAGAGAGAGTATACATATATAAGAGAGAGTATACTTATATAAGAGGGAGTATACATATATAAGAGAGAGTATACTTATATATACATATATTGAAGAATATCCAAATTCTCCTCTTTTTCACGGAGTGTTCTTCTGAGCTGGTCTATCTCGGTCGCACAGGAGGTAATAGAAAGATCAAGCTCGGCAAGCGAAGATAATATAGTAGCAAGGCTCGTCTTAACTCGATCTACTCGGCCCCGATGCATCTGAATCTCGAGCTCAGCAAAAATCTGAGTCTCACGTGATGACTGTAAGCGGGCGTCCAGCTCGAAAGAGCCGGCCTGGGCCCGGCCTGGAGCCCGGACTTGGCCCGGGTTTTCGGGCCGAGGCCGGGCCAGGGCCGGGCCCGGGCCAGTGCCGGGCCTGGGCCGGCGGACTTTTTGGACACCCCTAGCTATAATGTTAGTTCTGTGAGCTCCTATGATGTTATTTTCGCTATAATTTTTTCGTCAGATCTCGGAATGAGGTGATTTAAGATGCGTTGAAAAGCTGTTGAAGAGACCTATAACTTTAATCTTTTGAGTTTTTTCAGATTCGAACTACATATGTGTGTAAAATGATTTTTAGTTCTGTGAGCTCCCATGTTAGTTCTGTGAGCTCCTATGATGTTGTTTTCGTTGTAATTTCTCTGTCTGATCTCAGAATAAGGTGATTTGAGATGCGTTGGAAATCTGTTGAAGAGACCTACAACTTTGGTCTTTTGAGTTTTTCCAGATTCAGGCACATATATATATTAAATTAAATACAAGTCAGAATTCTCAGAGGCATCACATTATAGCTGCATTAGTCAAAATTGGCTAGTCCTATAATTAATTTGGGAGGAGGCATATACCTTCGAAAGAATCATCCTCAAGATTCTTATCGAACGTAGGCTCGGAAAATATACCTCCGGGTAACTGGCCATCAATTTGAGGAGAGCTATACATGAAGTGTAGTGTAG